CGTGAAACGCCGTATTTACGAGCGCTTTCAGCTTGTCCAGCGACCTTAAAATCGCGCCCCATTCATCCGGTATTTTCGGCAAGAAGCGGAAAACGAGAGGACACATTTGGCTAACTCGCAGCCAGACGTAACTAATGCAGTAAATTAAATGGGAAATGAAATTTCCAACTATCGGGAACAACACATCAACGGATTATCGACAAACGCTTTCTATATGGGCAAATTGATCTCACCGAGCATCGATTGATCCTCTCTCTCTCTCTCTCTCTTGTATTCTCTGATCTTAGCTTTCATCGTTAGGTAGCGATCGAGAGGGGGTGAGCTTTCTAGGAGTCGAGCACCATGTCGTTCACCCAGAGGAGAAGTTAAATCGAATCCGCTAACTGTAGCCTAAGAACAAACCGATAGAGACGAGAAGAGAGGAAGGAGGGTCACGATACGCGGCTAACTTTCATGGAAGTTTGATGCTTCGTAAATCAATGGCCATTCGTCGGGGCACGTTAAATTATTCTCGGCTCAGCGCACCCTCTTTCCGATAGAAGGCTCGATAGATTTTAACGCGGACAGTTCAACCTCCTAATACCGATCCGACAGTCTCTTTCTTAGCTGCCAGAATTATCGAATTTTTATCTAATTTTTTCAAGTAGAACTCTATATGTCATCGATTTCGAAGCGGTCGTTTGTCGAGGAAACCGCGTGGCACATTCTCGATCACCGACAAATGATTCAGGGTTCACGATCTTGATTTCTCATGGTGACCAATTGATTTCCGTTCGACCCGAGAATTTATCATGACCATTCGATCGTTCTCTCGGCCTGAGAAGACTGCCTTTCATTTACTTCCGTTAAAAATATTATTACACTGATACTGATTTGTTACGTGTTAAATAGGATTTCCTAATATCCTGTATATCTATGTATATATTATAAGCGCATTCATCGCGAATCTCCGATATCGTTAATTCGTGTACGTGTGTACGTGATAGGATATCGAATAAAGTGTCTCATTCCACATTTTCCTCCCACTTCTTGCTCGTGAATCGATCGTTAAACGAATAGCTCGCGTTCCAACGATCTAACCCCTTTCGGGCCACGTGGCTGCGTGTCGACATCAAACACATTTTAGACCCCCGTTCTATCGTGTTCAGGAACACTCTGGTAATCATCGGATAACCGTGCGATGCGTTGAAAAACCGGAAGAATCGATTCGCGAACGTCGCTGGAAGAACGAGGATGAACGTGGATGAAAAAGAAAAAAAAGGAAGCGTTGCAATTTTCGCGGATAAAAATAAAAAAAGATCTGTCGCGCGCTGTATCGACGCGTTCTCTTCTTCATCCTTTTTCTATTCGAAACGATAGCTTTTCATTCTGGCTTTTTCTACTATGAACGTGAAAATTCACTCGAGAACGTACGACGGCGTACGATCGTAGAATACCGGCTTTTTGGTCGTTTAAACGGAACAAAACGTGTGACGGGAACGTTCGATTTTGTCCACCGAGAGATAATGAAGGACCGGTCCCCGGCAACGATACATTATCCTGACGAACGCCGCGTAAATATTCGCCGTGCAGGCGAACGAAACGCAACCGATTAATCAGCAGCATTCGAACGAGAGGTTATTTAACGCTCGGATATACGGAACACAGCCGATCAGCCGGCGATTTTATTTATTATTTAAACAGTCGAAATGGGCCAGCCGAAACTCTTTGACAACTACGACTAATCACCGTGAAACGTTCGCTGCGAAATTGCAAACAACTAGCGAAACACGATTCGCTTGATGAATCGAGATGACAAGGACGGAACGTTAACTTTTTATCGATAGTAAAGTCTATAGACACGTCTATGGTTGTCCGATTAAATTCTGACGAATCGTAAGATAATAATTTTCACCCGGTTCGACTGTTAATTACGATACGGTACGGTTAAGTGTCGCTGTTCAGCTGGGAATTAATCTGTCACGAGAAGAGTGTGAAAAACTAGCCGTTTAAGAGGCCGACTCTGGTCGCGGGTCGTTTGATTGGCAGCTCTCGAGGAGAGTTCCTCTTCAACGTCTTCGTCGTAGATGCTCCCTCTCTTTCAACCCGTTTAAAAAACCTCTTCGAGGTCTATCGTATGTATATTCGAGTCGGAAGCCAGGCGAAGAGAATGGAGCAAAAGGGAAACGGAGGAAGACTTTATTTTCGGTGGAAGAAGAGGGAAGTCAGTTACACGAAGGAAGCGAAATGTCCACGAAAATAATGGCTCTGTGGGGTGTTAAACTTTAGGGATCGTAATGCGTACATACTAAATTGCAATTGCTATTAAAATTGCGATCAAAAGCGTAAATAGACTCTTCGCTAATTACTTTTTAACGTATGCATTCGGTCGCTCGCTATCAACTTGGAGGGAGCAAGCAAACATTCTAGTAGCACGATATTAATTCGCGTTCTAATCTAAAACCGTTCGAAGCGAATAATCGAGCAGGAATCTCGACAGTGTACTATCTCGTTCGGGAAGTACGGAGATCTAAGGTAAACGTCCGGAATGAAAACAGAGTTCCGTGTCTGCTTCGAAATTGTTGTTACTGTGTATGGAATCGTAGCTACTAACTGGTCAACTTCCCTCGTCACGGTGGCGATATCAAAATTCGCCGGTAACCACGAAGGAAACCAACCCGATTCACCGAGGATAATCGAATAACAATACCGCGACGGACCATCGATCCCTTGGCGCTATGGGTGACATCAATAGTCAGCCGTGGAAAGGTAACAGAAAAAATTCTTGCAAGAATATTATAATCTATGAAATTGAAACGATACATCGTCGGTGACTACGTTTCACCATGGCTGAAGAAAACAAAACGGAGAATCGCGTATTGCCACGGAGAAAAGAGAGCACATGATGTACGTATCATAGCTGGAAACGAGATTTTCTCGGAACATAAATAAGAATAACGAAAAAAAAAAAGAAGAAGAAGAAGAGAGGGGAAAGGATAAAAAGCAACGACGTCGTCCGCTAGATTGTACTTATAAATGTCTGAGCGAAGGATAATCTAATACACGGACGGTAAGATAGAGAAAGAAGGAGAACGGTGCTTATTGCGCGCTGAACCATGTCGACTTAGCGCACAGAGCAAAGTGAAACGTTCGCAAAAAGTGAAAACAAAAAATAAACGTGACGAGGGTCAGTAGAACGTGCGTGTGTTGCGTTCCGCGCTAGTGTGCGTGTACGTCAACGCACCGCGTGAAAATACTATGCAAAACGAGGAATGGAATTCTTCGCTTAGCGCGATGCAAGAACCGCGTGGAAACGCGTTCGGATCCGTTTCGCTAGTCTATGGTACCGTTAATAACCGGCCATCTTTAATACGCCAACTTTTGGCGCCGGTATAGTTCGCTATTAATTCGCTGCCAGTGTCACGCTCGAATTACAATGACGATAAAACATCAAACGAATACGACCTGTTCCCGTTCCCGTTTCCGTCGTTCCCTTCTATCTGCGAATCTAGCCCCGTTACGTATCAAGGTGCGTATAACGAGCGATGCGAAACGCGTGGAACATTGAAACTCGTTGATGCGAATCCAAACATGGCGGACGCACCTAACCCAAACATCGCATCACACAGGTCACTTTTCATTTTTCGATTTGGCTTTTTGAGCACACCTCTTTGCTCCATTTATAGTAGTTGCGTTTTTATGCGATACGAAAGGTACGACTTCGCGTGACATTTAATGTCATGCTAGTAACTCGTTATGACATCGGATTTTCGATAAATCGCGAGTCAAGGGGAACGGTAAATATCGCGACGCTTTTAGATGTTTTCACGTGGTTTAACGTCACGTTTTCACGTGGCGCTAAACCTCGCACAGACTTTCGACTGTCGTGGCAGTGGATATTTCTGTTTTTGGAGTAGAGGAAGCATAGATTTAACGTGGACAGGATCAAATCTGACCCTGGCACGGTACTTACAGGTTATATGTCAGCTGAAAAGGTGTCCGAAGCAGCAGGATAGTAAGAGAGCGATGGTTGAAGGGGGACGGTGGTTGCGTCGTGTAGAAGGAAGGAGAAAGAGGACGGCGTGCGGTTGCTCGGTTGTTAGGTCGTCGTTACACAGGTTCTTAAAGGTCCCGTGGTCTGGCGTGGCCGGCGTCTGCTCGTGCGTAGCTGTAACGCGGCGGAGGAGCGTGCGGGGATTGCCCGGTGTCGGCGTCGCCGTCGTCGTCGCGGCCGCTTTGGGACGGTGCGCGCGCAGAGCCTCGACCGGCGTCCGCCAGGAGTCGCTGGCGCTGTGGCCGGCCTCGAGCTGCGCGAGCGGGCAGTTCAGTCTAATTTGAACCGTCGCGCGCGGCCGACGCGGGGCCACCGACAATCCCTTCTCCGCCTCGACGTGACACGAGGCTGCTCGTGCATGCCGCGTGCAACACACGCGCCGATCCCCCGCACGCGATATTATCCGCACGCGTGCCCGCCAACCGACAGCATCGTTGCCATCGTAGAATAATCGGTGCCGAGAGAGGTAGAAAAACCGGGTAGAAAGGAGGAACCGAACGCTCACGCTCACGCTCGCGCTCATCCGGCCATCCGATCTATCCTCGCGGACGAATTTCATGCCCGCCGCGGTTTTTTCTCGCGCCCGATAATACTCGTCTCGTTGGTGTACGCGATACGCCGTCGAGTTTTGAACGACGACCGGCAAGAGGAGGAGGAGGAAGAATCGGTGTGGTAAAACTGAGCAGTGAAGTGCGTCGCGCGAGGGCTAGACTTCGACGGTCGACGCTACCAACCGCGAGAGAGCCTCGTGAGTATATTTAAATAGTGTGTCTCTGGCTGGTCAGAGGAAGCCGACAGTTTCTTGGTCTTCGTCGTCGTCGTCTTCTTCTTCTTCTTCTTCTTCTTCTTCTGCTTCTTCTTCTTCTTCTTCTTCTTCCTCTTCTTATTCTTATTCTACCGCTCCTTCCTACGTCGTGTGTCATCATCCTCGGCTTTTCCTCGTTCGGAGTGCAACGTGATACGTGTGTCGAGGGACCGAGGCACCGCAACACGGGGGTGGCGCGAAATTCCTTATCGAATCTCGACGATTCGTTTATCCGTCGCTGAAACGAACGCTCCAAGATCGATCGGTTCGAAACGATCGGGGACGCGATCTCACCGATGAGAGTCCTCGATTCGAGAAGCTTCTATCGAGCATACACCTTCGAGATCCAACGAATCCTAGAAGATCCTTTATTTTCGATATAATTAAACTATAATATACGAGCATCGTACAGTGTACATAGAAGAAAATAATTACGGAGAAAAGTGTGTCAAGGAGGTGAACACGAGGAGACAGTAGCTGCGAGTCGATCAGACATAATGTTCCTTTGCAACGATCAACAGGATGATCCCGATTTTTGAACTAACTGACCCGGTGCCGTTTGCAAGCAGCTCGATCGCGGCAAAGGCCGTTCGGCGTCGTCTAGGATAATCGGGAGTAAGATCGAAGGATGATGAAGAGGATGGTATCGCGTTGGACGAAAAGCAGACAGCCGAGAATCTGTCCGATGGAAGTCCCGATCGCTTGCTGCCGGTGGTACAACACCTCGTGAACAGCGTGTCAAAAAGGTCGTTTCGTAACCGAATGACGTTTCTTCGTTAAAACATTCATCAGAGAGAAAAAGAAAGGAATCATCAATAGGGAAGAAAGAGATCCGTGGCGAATTTCGCTCTGGTATAGAGACGAAGAAGAAGAAGAAGAGTGCGGGGTGAGAGAGAGAGAGGTGTGTGCTTGTTCGGGGTGACCGAGGTGTCGACCTCACCCCCGATCAAACCAGCAAGCAGGTCGGATGATGTGGGCGTCTCTGTTTTTGGCCGGGATCTTAAGCGGCTGGTGGGGCGCACTGGCGCTCGCTGCGGCACCCCCCGCCAATCGGAACTCCCTCGAGGAAACGTCGAGCAGGACCACCAGCGATCATCCGCCATCGATGAGCATCGCCAGCGTTGAGAAAGCCCTCGATTACCGAGCCCTTGCCCTTGATTCGCCAACTTGGAATTCGTTGGTCGCAAGAACGAGAGAACCGATCGTTCGATCTTCGGAAGAGAAGAAGGAGAGAAGGTTGTCCGAGTCGAGTTCCTCGTGGACGTACGATAGATACGCGTCCATCGCTGGTAACTCGGACTCGGTTGCGAAAACTCGATATCCGCCAGAGGATGCGTCAAAAGAGAAGGCGGAACAATTGGACGAGTGGATACGCGAGGCTTTCGTTTCATCGTCGAAACAGGCGAATCGTCGTCACGAGGACGACGACGCGCCGATGCCGCGTGCAAAGATGCACGAGTCCGATCTGACACGGCCGCCTCGTCACTCGTCCACGCAAATGCCGTTTCTCTATTCTCAGGGGACCGAGTCGTCCGTGGAAAGGCCACGGCCCATCCGATCCACCAAGCAACGACCAAAGAACCGGGCGAAATCGGACTCGCCCCGGGAGCAACGACGTAGATGCCGTAACAAGGGTTGTCGCGGGCAAAACTGGTGCCCGGACGTGGACGTGGGGAACAGGGCGTACCTGGCGCCAACGGTGTTCGAGGGAAAGGCTAGGAGCATGTCGTCCGTGAGGAAACCGGGCTCGAACTACGCGGTGACGTTCGAGGTGAAGCAAGTATACAAGAGTCAGCCCGGTTTCCAGCCGTTGCAGAAGAACGACAGCGTAAGGCTGCACTTTCGAGACAAATCGGCGCCCGGCAAGTCGACCGTATGCGGCTACGATACCGACGGCAAGCAGCAGCAGCAGCAGCAGCAGCAGCAGCAACGCGATAATCAGAGTGGTGTGGTGCGAGCCAATATTAAAAGGGGTAAAGTGTATCTAGTGTTTGTGAATCGCGTGGGACCCAGAAACTTCACGATCCTCGGTGAGCCGGTGATTCGAAGCAAGAAGAACGAACAGGCGGTACAGGCTGTCGTTCGACCGGATTACGGTGAGTACGATTATCATTTCATTCTAATTAATCCGATAGCTTTCCTCGTCACATTCGTTCGCGGTAGTACGCGAACCGCAGCTGCGTTTTCATTTTCATTTCAGTTACATATGGACAGGTTCGAAGGTAGATGGATTAAAAATATGCAGAATTAATATACCCTTTTTATACGAAAATGGTACTTTTCACGAAACATTTTGTAAATCCGTTGACCCGATAACGATTCGCTATCGAAAGCTCGTTACATTTCAGCCGGTGGATGCTCGTTGAAAAACCATTCGGATGTTATCCGGCAAACCCCCGAAACTTTTTAATATCGCCGCGGACGCTCGGATGTTGAACGAGCGTCGCGACGTTTCTCCGATACGCGTGGATTACAGGGTGGAAAAAAGTTGCATTAGGAACGTGATCGTAGAGGATCGTAAAGCTTCGGATAGAAGGTCTTTCAGGATGGCTGAAATCGTTCGGGACAGTTGGAAGCGCGAACGATAAATTGCGATCGCACGCTTCCACGGTGTATCACTTATCGTACAGGGATGGGGAAGGGGGGGGACTGGTTTTCTCGCTTGGGAGCACGCCCACGTACAACACGGGAAGAAGAGGTGCTTTCCTCGAGGCGCGTAATCGAGCCGCGAACACGCGTATATTTAAACCGCCACGTAAGTTGGACCGCCTTCGAGTCGGCGTAAGTCGTTCAAGCTTCGCTCGACTTTTCTTCTTTCTAGTCGAACGCGATCGTGTCGCGTTTACGCCGAGATACGAGATCGTAATACACCACCGATGCATTACCAATCGATGAGTGTTGAACGTTGAACGTTGAACGATGCATTTTAGAGTGTCATGGCCATTGGAGTACTAGAGCGATGAGGCGCTAGTTAAGAATCCACGTAGTTCGCGATGGATTCCTTCGTAATATATATATATATATATATATATGGTATATATATATGTGCCAATGTATTTTGAAGGTGGTCCAATTTGCTGTCGGTTCAACGTGCTCTGCGGTTCCCTGCTCTCAGCCAAAGACTTCTTCGTGACGGCGATGACTGTTCGCTGCTCCGACCTTCCTTACTTGATTTATCGCGCAGCTCGACTCGAGATATCGAAAGTAGCTCGTCACGGAACATCTGTGAAACTTTTGACGAGTTGACGCTCCTTTTCTCTCTCCTTCTCTTCTGTTAGCACTCGAACCAAAGCACATGTGCTCTCCCTTTGCTCCGGTGACACACCGCTCCTCTTTTCGAACCCACGCGTTTCTCTTGAAAATTTATCAATTGTTTATTCTACTCCTCTCTATACGACGCTCTCTTCGACTAGGAAATCGAAGTAGACTAAGAATTTTCCAAGGAGAATCGAATCGACGCTATACGTTTGGCAGAATATTGATTGGCTAGCGAATGTAGAAGTAGCAAGGTTGCATAGTCTGGCGATAGAATCATTCTTTGTTATCGATAAAGTGTGATCTCGACGAGATAACGAGTCTGAGAATGAACATTTCACTCGCCAATTGACGCGAAATTTCATATCAATGCATTCGCTAACATCGCTTGATTATAAAATCCTCCACTGTTGATTAATTAGCAATTGTACGTGTAAAACGTAATCTGTCATTAGTCTGTATGTCACTTACATGTCATGCTGGTAGCAACTGTGTTAAATATTTAATACGATAACACCTTTAACGTGTGTCGAGTAATGTACACTCTAAGTGCATCTAATATTCAACTACTGTTTAATTCATTTGAAACATTATACGTTCCGATCGGTGAGGTTGATTCGGTAAATGGAGCGTTCCTTTCAGACACCAAGATTAACGATTTAGAAGATAGGAGGATTTCCAATTTGCGTGATTGCGATTTTAACACCTCAAACTCAAACACTTAATAAATTTCATAATGCATGTCGCAAGGGATGTATACGCGCAGTTATTCGAAGCATTCCTTCGGAATTTTGTTTTCTACTCGGAAAATGAATTCCTGGCAAAATATTTGGAGGATTTTTCAGATAACACCGTAGGAATAAGAGAGGGTAGGAGGGTGAAGGTAGGAAAACTTCTTTGATACTTCTTCGAAGTAACTCGGCTCGAGCTTCGTTAGCGTCATTTTCCTCCTCTACTTTCCTCTCGTCTCGTTTACGAGTTCAGAACTGGCGTCCTCGTTTGCTTAGCACCCCATCCTCTTCATCCAGCCGTGCGTATTACACATCCGCTTTGACGCGTATCGAAAGTTTTCACGACTTATCCCATTATGAAGCCTCGGGAGTAGGTATCTCGTTTTCGCGAAAAGCAAAGTCAGAGTCTCAGACTTGTCGCACGGCAGCCGGGGAGTATCTGGTTAAACCGATTTATCGTGTACGCTTGAACATTCCGGGGATAAATTGGATCAACCGGAAGCTTCGAATCTTGATAATCCCGTCGGATCGTTGTCGTGGGTCGTTAAAATTCTTCCGATAGCCTCTGGACTCTGTTCTCCGTGCAATTATCTTCAATTTTCACTAATCTTCGTATAACATTATCGCATCAAAACAGTTGCACGTTTCGTAGAATCAACGGTTCCCCGATAATTTTACGTTTCTTTTTGCATCGAAACGGGTGAATCCAGTTTGGAGATTCGCCGAAGCAACCCCTTGTTTATCAGCAGCATAAGACCCCGTAACAAGGGTAGGTTCGGGCGCGAAGAGAGGAGCAAAAGCGGAGCAAAAGCGGAGCAAAAGCGTCTGGTGTCCGAGGACGGTTCGTTGATCCGCGATCCGCAAAAGCGGGTCCGCCGGCCCTTCTTCCAGTTGCCGGTGACTAAGCCAGACGGGGGGACCCGGGACGTCAATTATAAGGCCTTAATCGGAAACCCGTCCTTACTTCTGTTGGCTTACACTCGGTCGTGCCACCCGAGCGAGACAGCGGCGAAGAAAAACGGAATATCGAGAGCATAGTCGTGTCGCGCGAGACTATCCTCGTCGTGTCGAGTTTTAACAGACGCGACTATCACCGTATCTCTCCTTCGTTCTCGCCTTTCCACGAAAAATACTCGTTCACCACTGAGCCGTGCTTATCTTTCCATAAAGATTGCCTCGGTTTTTCTTATTCTTCGAGCGCATAGGTTTCGCTACTTTGGAAAAAAAAAAAAAAAAAAAAAAAAATAAAAGAAAGATACGCGAGTAATAGGATTTAGTCATTCGAAGTTTTTCGCGCGAAATACCTGACGTGTCGGCCAAGTTATCGGTTATCTCGATGTATCGTAATTAAGTTTTATTAGTCAGCGGGACTAGTGTCGACGCCGGATATTAGGTATACGATTCTCCGAGTCGATAAACTGGAAATTAATCGTCCGTCCGATAAGATGTAGCTGGTCATTTTTCGGAGTCGATTAAGAGAACACTCACGATTCTGATGGAATTTCCACCTGTTATTCATGGATTACGTGCGCGATCCCGTAACTGGGAATTCGTATATGATATCTGGTTCGTTCCCGTATGCACGCGATATTCTGTTATCTCGCGGCAACTAGATAGGTCCTAAAAGGGACATGCACGGGGTGCACGCAGTTGTGTTTCACCATTTGCTTTGAAACGTGCAATGAAAGAGCATGCGGGCGGTCGTTAATCGTCTCGATACTTGCGATTTCTCTTCTGTTGAAGAACAACGGTTTATGAGGAATTTAGTAGATGGATTTCTTTAATTACTCGCGTAAAGACGGTTAGATCCTTCCGTTAAGCATTCGTGTTCCATCGAGTCGTTAACATTAGATAAAAAATTTGTCCATTTCTTAGGATTAGTTTACCTATTGAATGACGTAGCATGAAACGAGGAAATCTATTAAACAGTTGACCTTCCTGCGTAAAACGATTATCCAATACCGGTCATACGATTAATCACTCGGAAAAGATTCTCGAGAACAGCTCCTCGGAATCGGCCGAAAGTGTCACGGCAAGAGGTTCGTCATTATCGAAGCAGCGATCCTTTAACTATCAGCTCGAAGCACCGTTGCACCGTTGCACAGTGCACCGTTGCATCGCGCCGCACGACGATGCGTCCTACATAAACCCGTCGAACGCGACGATAATCGACGTCAATTAATTTCTATAGCGATTCATTGCCACCGATCGAACGACAGTTTCGAGGGAACAAAGAGTAAATAAAGCTCGGACAGGTGTGCTTATGCACCGCGTCGAATAAACGAACACGCTCACCGGTATCGTCAAATAAGTCTCGAAAACATAAGAAATCTTTCGGCGATCGTCGAGAATTTTCCTGGAAATATCGATGTCTCTCGATGATCAGGATTGATGAAGCACAATTGGCGACTTAGCGAGAACATGGCCTGCTACATCGTACTCGAGATTGATCGTGCCAAGGAAGGGGAGTAAGGCACAAGGGCATCCGTAAGAGCAGTAAACCTACAGATAGAGCTAGACGTATGGTCAGAAAGAGTAAGAGATGAAAACAGGAGAAAGAGTAAAAGAATGAAGGGGGAAGAGAAGAAGCTGTCCGGTGATAAAGGGAGAGGTGGACGAAGAGGAAGGGAAATCGGCACGTACGTATCCAGAGCACGTACGGCCCTGTGCCCATACTCAGAGGAAACCCGCAGGTACGCTCTATACAAGCTGTTCCATGCATCTGGGACAAACTATACCTCTGGAACGATGGAAGATAGAAAAATTCTCATTAGATAAAATTAACCTTCGATTCCTCCTATCGTGTTGCGATGAGTGCACATTTTTTCAACTTGAAAGTAGTACTAATAACGATTCTACTTTACGATGATCATCTTTTAGGAAGTCAATTAATTAATTGTCTATCTTGTACTCTTCGAAATTGACGCCCTGACCCAGATACATGGGAGAGCCTGTAGAGTGTATGAAGCAAGGCTCACGCACAAACGGAGACGGGTCGTACACGCACATTTACAGGTGGAGGGTGGGGTATGAGAGGCAAAGCAAAGGGTGGGAGACCACACGTGTGGTGTGTGTATACACCGAGCAGGTAGACTGCTGGGCGGCCGGCG